TTTTAATGATCTGCTAAAAGCAATTTAAATAGCTTAAGCAAAATGAAATCTCAAATGAATATCCCTTTTTCAATAATACAAACCTTTCGGTTTCTATTTTAGTTCTAGAGATTTACCCACTGTTCTTCGAACTCTGTTTTGATATTTTTATATTTATTTTATTTAAGGAAATTCAAAAAAAAAGAGGCCCCCAAAATAACTAATTAGCCCGGATTTTGAGTATATATATATATATATATATCAGTATATTTGCCGATTATATATATGTATAATCGGCCAGACATTTCACGAAATATCAGCGTGAAATCAATGAACTCGACCCAAAGACAATAAACAGAATCTGGGCCCAACTCTCAGGCAAGTGACAGGTAATCGATCCAAAGAAGAGGGGTCTATATAATGATCTAGAATTCATATGGATTTGTTTACCATATAAAAATATAATTGCTCGAACGATAAGCGTTGCTGGTGTCAGGGCTTCAGAAGAAAATAACAATAACAATTCAAGTCAGCTGTGGAGTTCAATGACAGCCGCCTTATATAAGGCTTGCTATCTCTCCGTTTCACTCTGCGATGAGGCGGATTCACTCTCCTTCCCTCCTCCCTTTCCCCTTTCCACTTCTCTCTTTCTTTCTGGCTTACAGTTACCAATTGCATTTGGTGCAAGGAAGCAGCAAACCCCAAAAATATCTGGAGACAGGTGTAAATTTATAATACCAAATGGGGGGCACGTCCAGTAAGCGAGTTTAAATTTAAAACAAAGAATTTATAAACTTAAAATTTCCTGTTTAAAATAAAAAATATTAAATGAACTTAAAAAATAAAAACATAAAAAATAACATGAACTGGTTCATTGATCTGCCAGCTGCTAAGTTCCTGAACCCTTTCAACTCATATATTTATTTTTTCCCATTTGAAATAATAATATGAATTCTAAAACCTGGTTTAGTTTTTCAGTTTATTAAGACCTCAAGCAAATTGGGTTCTTAAAAAAAAACTTGTAATGAACGTGTTTCAGGTGTTTTGTTTTATGAGATAGCACGAGTCATATGCGAGACTTGATAGATAGGTATACATATAAAGAGCAAATGAGACAGACGCCATCTAGTTCGTATAGCTCATTGAAGTCATTAAAGCCAAAAGCTTTGGTCTGTATTGTCCAAGCTAACGACGTTTATTGTGAATTATAATTAAATAGCAAAATGAGAGCTAAATAAAAAATTATATGAAAAACAAAAATTTTGTCTGAGACACGGGTTTTTCACAAAATCGTTAGACAAACGATGAAGTTAAAATAAAATAAAAAAAGACAATACAAAATAAATTTTATGACTTGCCAAATATGCAAATGGGTAAGAGTATTTATGTAATTCCAATAGGAATAAATGAAACTTCTCAAAATAGTTAGAGGTGGACTTAAAAATAAGAAGTAATATAATAAAAACATATTTTTTTTACTATTCTTAAATTATTGTCAACTAATTAAGATAGAATATAGAAATGAAACAGCATATTACCTTAATATAGTCTTTTTTTAAATTCCTATGCTCAAACTTTGGTATAGCAACTACGCGAAATAGCAGCTACTTCATTCAGTTTTGAGACCAAAAAACTGGTTTCTTGTCTCTTTGAAATCGTTTATGGGTAATTTGTATTCAAAATAAAACAAAACAAAAAACAATAACAATAAAGCTGTTCAGCAAGCTTCACAGACGTCTTATTTGTCTACATTTTATTCAGACGTTCAAAGTTCGATTGTGTTTCGAAATGTTTGTTTTCGATTTTATTTTTCGAATGTATATATATAAATTTGCGTTTAAGCCGTCACACTTATCGATTGTTCACTTGAAAAGCTGAACATATTCATTTTTTGTTTTTAAGGATGAGCAAAGTAAAACTGTTGGTGTAATTCATAAATCTAAAACTTTATAGTCTCGCATTTTAAGAAACTTCTCACTTTCTTTAACTCGAATATCTCTAAATATTATTCCTATATTATCTATATGTCTCTTATTTATTTATTTGTATTGTATTAATTATTATTAATTGATTAAACGTAAAATTTTTACAAATTTTGTTTTGTTTTTAAGTTCAGAATTGCAAATGCAAATTGCTTGCAATTTTAAAGTATTTTTATTTTCCACGAATAATTCGTGGAAGATATATAAAGTGAAGAAAAGAAACATGTCATTCTTGATTCCGAATTAAAAGCAAATGCGTTCATTAGCATTCACTTAGTTTCTGTTTTGCATATATGTATATATTTAATTAAGATACACTTATATTATACGAAATTAATATATGATATATGCGGATAATTTTATTTTTGGTTCAATCAAATATGTTTTGTTAGCAAATTTTTGAAACACGTTTTAAATATTAAAATGTCTTATACAGGTATATATTTTGAATTTTTTGTTTGTGATTAAATTGAAATAGACTAACATTGAATACACATATAGATAATGCAGAAAAGAAATATATTGGGTAAACACCTATGTATATGAAAGTTTTGCCATCGTAACTCACAAAGGCTAAAGCTAAAGCTAAATTCCCTTTATAAGTACAGCAACAGTGGTTTGTTATATAAGATAGTTTTTTTTTTTTTTTTTTTTTTTTTTTTTAATTTGTTGGCTAAAAATGAAATGGCATGAAATTATTTCTCCACTGTTTCACAACTCTTACCAAATGTGGGCTATATCATAATTTCAGTTGATAGTAAACAAATTCCAAAAATATTTCTGATGCCGGTATTACAAATTGCATATTTGCATTATCTTAAAATCCAAAATCCCCTTGTCTGAAATATGGCCTTAGCTAAGTTCTTCAAACTTTAATTAACTTGCCTTCATCCTTCAGATCCATGATTTCCACAACGAAATCTTCATTGTTGAACAGCTCTAAACTTGCCGACTTCACCAAGGCGTCTGCCTCCTCCACGCTTAAGAGTGTAATGCCTAAAATAGAATAAATATCTATAGATAGAAATATGTATATCTAGTTAACAAGTTACTGACCATTTGCAAAGTTATCGTCATAGAGAAAGGTTGGATCGTCAAGCGGAAACAGCTCGCCGCCCATTGATGGTGGCGAAACTGGCTCCACCTTGGGATCCCAGTAAAGTTCTTGCGGTAAATCCAAACTCTCCATTGTCAATGGTATTTTGCTGCTGATGAAGGTGGTCATATGATGATGTCAAATCGGAATCAAAGCTTAACGGGATATCTTCGGAATATATTGAAAACGGTTCGATGGATGTGATGAACGCTGGTTGTTGTTGCGGTTGTTCTTGTTGTGAGGACGCCATGGCGGCTCTGGAAGCGAAAATAAAAATAATGATTTGATTAATGTAAATTAGCGGACACCATTTGTCTGACCTGCTCTATAGTGCAATAGGGCTTACACATACTGATTAACCAACTATTCAATATATTAGAAAATGCAGCCAGACATAAACAAATCGAATCGCATGGCTTGACGACGTCAGCCGTAGCAGCTGATAAGCCCTTTTGCTGAAACCCAAGCGCAGGTGAAATGCTAAATTATTTCGTTATCAAAATATTTTCGAAAAATATGTTTTGTTTGATTACAATCCTATCGCGATAATCATATAATTTCCTATTTATATTTTTAATTTTTGACCGAATCTATTTATTGAGACCTCTTGTCTCACGAAATTTATTATTTCTATTTAAATCGTGCAACTATTGAGAAACGCGACACGCACCCAACTCTAATTCCCATTGCTATCCAAAAAATAATAATATCGTATAAACAAATAGCTGCCTGCTATGAGCACTGGCAGCGCTATAGACGTGATTGTTCCTTTATTATAAACATACATACACACTCCGGGCGATAATAGAGCGAAGCACACATACATATTTGTGTTTGAGCGAGATAGCATGTAAATAAGATGATTCACTGCCCATTGCACGTGCTGTAGCATGTAGCAGGCTGAAGAAGCATGTGCCGCATTTTGACGCAATTTCGCAGCGGATTGCATCAGCCAATTTCGCAGTTCCAGCTGCTACAACTGTCCAGCTCTGTTGCATGCCACAAGCAGTTTGTAAACATTTCTGCCACGTTACCATAAATCGACAAACCAAGCGAAATACACTCACACATGCACACTATCCCATAACTGTTTACAGACAACAAATCCGCAATTAGCTTGCTTGTGTGCATGCATATGTATATACATATGTACTTATGCATGGCTATCAGCTTTTGTGTGTGTTCGTGTCTATGTGTTCGCGTTCATTTGTGTGCAATATTGCGAAATTGTTGCACCTTTGTACACTTGGTTCAATGTTTAAGTACTTACAGGTATTTTGTTAACATTTTCATAACTTTGTGTTTGTGGGCACTATTCGTGCTTGTGTTTTGTTTGCGCGCAAACTAGAAAGCCATTTTTATGTCCATATAAATGCGAAATACACGACAGAAAATATGTTGACCTTTTTGCGTTTCATTTGGAACGATACTGAACGGTTGCTCAATGCTCCGGAACCAATTCGGCTAAATGGTTCCAAGTGAACTAATGTTAGTCAATAACAGTGACTCACTTATCTGAAGGGTGAACAAAATAGAATTCCGGGCCATTTTTAAATGAAAATGAACTTTATGCATTTTTTAATGTATATTTCTTCCATTAATAGTAAATTGGAATTAATATGATTTTTTTTTTTTGTATCAAATTGAGTGCATTTTGTGTCATTCAGCTATTGTTTAGTGTCATAATACAATATCTGTGTTTTGCAAAAGCACTACGAAACACAAATAAATCATTTAGTTTTCAAAGAATATATAATATTAGCGATTTATAAAGCTCTTTTTTTTTTAAATGAATTAAAACTGTTTAAAATTATATACTTTCGGTGTTGTTAGGTAACATCACTAACATTCTGTTAACTTGTCTTTCGTTAAGTGAGTAAACAGTTCTGTGACTGACAGCTTTCGTCATGCTGTTGGCATACATCTGACTCTCAGGCAGTTTGGTATTTTTTAGCCAATTTTGGTGTTGTGTAGTCGCAGATACAAATTAATGAATATGAATGCTTAAATTTCAATTAATATTACGTGAAAACGCACGCTTGCGCGGTAAACTCGTGTTACGCTGTACGGAACTGAACGCCACTTGAGCCATTGTAGACGCGCCCCCAAACTAGTGAGTGTGTGCGGACGATTGTTTGTGTCGATGTAACTACTGTAGCTGTATAAAAGCAGAGGTCAAAAGTGCACGCAGCCCAGAGAAAAGTGGAGAATTGAGTGGTCAGCGTATACAAATTGTGACGTAAATGGAAGACAGCACTACAAATATGCCTATTGGTTGTGGCCAATTGGCCGTAACAATTAACGAGCGTACTATGGCCATTGTTTTTGTTATGCACAACGTATATCCATAGCTGTGTGAGTGAGTATATATATAGGTATGTGTAAATATGTGCTGGCGCAGCCTACGCCAACGACGCGACGTAGCCGAATGTTGATTCTTCTTCTTGCACGCTTAGCCAGTCGCATTTAGCGCCAGAAAATTCCTATGCTGATAACGACTATACTTGTGTGTGTGTGTGTCTGTGCGAGAGAGAGCTGAAGCTAGGCACACGACTGTCAGAGAGAGACGGGGCAGGCGCACCCGAGAGAGTGTAAGTGAGATAGAGAGAGAGAGTTAGAGACTGAGCGCAAGCTGCTGGCGTCAGCTGTTTTATGTTTTGATTGTGTGTGCAGGGCAATAATAAAGGCAATCGCACAGGTTTTGTTTTTGTTTGTTTTTTTTTTGCTTTTCAGCCTGAGTTCTTAAGTTGCGGCGAACCGCCGATCAGTACCGTTTGTGAAATTGAAAAGTCATCAACAGCCGCCGCGTGCCAAGCGCAAAGCACGAAATTAAAGTCTACTAATAATTCACACAAGCTTTTTCATTATCAGCCAATTAACTGACGTCGCATTTCTAAATAGTTGCGGTCTTTATAAATGCAGGCGTATGTGTGCATGTGTGCGTATGTTTGTGTGTGAGTACGTAGGCACTTCTTTGTGTGCGTGTATGAGTGAATTGTGACGCGCTAAAAGCGGGGCGTGTTTGCCATTAGAAGAAGAATCAACAACGAAGCAAAACAACAACAAATGCGATAAGTGGTCTAAACAGGAACAACAACAACAACGAAGCAGCAAGTGAGAAGAAAATTTAAACAAAACGCAATAAATGTAGCAGAAATTAAGAAAATTTGTTAATTAATGAATATTAACAAAATAGTAGAAAAAGCTAAAGTAAATAAAATAAAAGTGCAAATTGAAGAAACAGCAGGACAAAGGGAAATATACAAACCGAAACCACATAAATTGTCATAAATAAACCAAAGTGTTAATTAGAGCTTTTTTCAAACTGAAATTAAATTGTTAAGTTTTATAGAGAAAATAAATCTACCAATGTTAGGAGTAAAAACGTAGATAATTCATATTTACAAAAATATAAAAATAAAATACAAATAAAAAACCTATAATTAAATGTGCCAATCAAATGAATTGCCGAGCTAAAAAATGTATTGCAATCACATACTGCATAGCATAAACGTGAGTTGAGAAAACCTCAGATTTGTTCGCACCTGGTCACACTACAAAATTCAAAAAAAGTTCATTTTTATCTTCTTAAAATCCAACAACAAAGAAACGTAACAATTAGTCAAAAAAAATGATGTTGAACAAATACGAAATCTATCAACGCACAAACAACATGTTCCAACAACAACAATTACAACAACATCAACAGCAACAGTTACAACAACAACATCAACAGCAGCAGCAACAGGCGTCGCAGCAAGCATCGCTGCAGCTCTCCCACTCGCACCCGCACGCCATATCCTATCTGGACAGCGCTGCCAGCAGCACTGTCGGCAGCACTGCAGCAGAACTGGCCGCCATGTTGGCAGCCAGCAAAGCGGAAAGGGAGTCCATACATTCGGGACAATTTATGGTCTCACACTTTGAGGCCGAGGAAGCACAAGATGACTTGGAGGATGATGGCGAGGTGAAGATGTTGGATCCCGAGGATCCGAGTCTCGATAAGCCCGGCGCCGCGACCAATACCTGCCGCGACGTGCAGCTATATGTGCCCCAGACAGTGGCTCATTTTCCACGCATGGATTTGGATCGCGAATGCGATGATAATAGCATGGGCATGAGCGTCACCTCCCACCTAGAGATCGAGACGTCGCTGACCAAGCTCTTCAAATGCATGAATCTGGCCTACAGGTAAGTGTCGACAAGCCAAACCGAAGGCCACGCGCCAAGCGCGTGTTAACAAACAAACATCATATTTTAAGCACTAAACTGGGCCGAAAAGACGCTTCTGTCCGCATAATCGTTCCATAGCACATGTTGCTGCGACGCTGACGTCGACGGCGACGGCGACGGCTGCGCGTCGGTGCTCAAGTTACCTTTAGCTTTAATCGCTGTCTGTCTTTTATGCTGTGTCTTCTATTTCTGCAAACGCTTGCAAATGAACGAAAAAATGATAAAAAAAAACAAGTAAGAAGTCGGGCGTTACCGACTGCGGAATACTCATTCACATCCCATTAACAATTTAGTAGTTAAGTTTCGCTCTAATACTGTAGAATATACAGGGTTTTCCGATTTGCCACGCCCCAACTGGACGTAAACACCTCATTTTTGGTCAGTTTTTAGAAAGAGATAACGGTACCCTAACTGCAAAGTTTGAATGCTTACCCTCAAAAAATGTGAAAATTACAGGGTATTTTTCGATATGCCACGCCCCTAAAGAGGCGTAAAAATTATTTTTGGGGAATCGATAGAGGAGGCTACCAGTAACTCAACTATCCAAATTTGAAGCTTCTAGCTATTATACTTTAGGAGATATAAACTTTTGCGGTTTGCCACGCCCCCTGTGGGCGGACATATATCCGACAAAACTTTTTGGTCTTGGGTGATCAGTCCGAGTATATATACAAAATTTGAGGTCTCTGCCATCAATAGTGTCCAAAATATAGGAGAATTTAAAAAATCACTATATCTTCAGGTCCGATTTGCCACGCCCCCAACGGGCGTAGACTTATAATTTATCTTCAGACTTTATAGAATCATACCATTAGCTGACGTGCAAAATTTCAGCATTCTAGGTTTACAACTTTAGGAGATACAGTTTTATCCGATTTGCCACGCCCCCAATGGGCGTAGATATATCCGCCATAGCTCGTGATCTTGGGTGGTCAACGCGGACCTACATACCAAGTTTCAGCTTTCTAGCTCTTCAACAAACATGATTTCTGGTATATCGGAAAATGCATTTTCCGATTTGCCACGCCCCTAGTGGGCGGATCGGGAAAATTGTAACACTTTATAAATCGGAGATATACACGAGTATGTGCTCCAAATTTCAAGTCTCTAGCTTCAATAGCGCCGAAATAGATTGCGTTCATACGGACAGACGGACGGACGGACAGACGGACAGACGGACGGACAGCAAGACGGACATTGCACAAAACCAATATACTGATTCACTTTCGTGAATGAGTATAAAAAAGCCAAAATAATGAAATAAAGTAACAACCAAGATATATGAAATATTAATTCAGGAAAACTGAAACGTGTAAGTCAGTGACTTATTGATACCTTAGAAATAAATAGAAAAATAAATGAAAAAAAAAAAAAAAAAGTTATTTATACATTAAAAATATAAATAAAATGCTAATTAAATTAAATTAATTAAAATTAAAGAAAAATTCGACCACCCAAGAGTATCTTATAAGTAAATAAACTATACAATTTAAACTATTAACATATTCTGACCGAATTTTAATCAGATGATATATACTACATACAAAAGTCGAAACCCGGATCCTGGTTAATATTTTTTTATTTATTTTTTAATGTGTGAAAACTTTTTGTTGATTAAAAGTTTATGCTAATTACCTTAAGAATTCTGATAATCATTTCTTTTCCTTTAATTAATTAATAAGAGAAGTGTTTTGCACAAATCTATGAATTTGTTATCTAATCCTCAAAACAATACGAGAAAATCAATTAATATAAATGGAAGATAAGTTACCTTTATTTGAACCCCAAGTAGAGACTTCACTTTCATATGTTTTCTAGGCTCACAATCTCACAAAACACATATAGCATAGATGTATTTAGATGTATTATATATATATAGATATATAGAGCATATATTCCCATGATATATTCCACTTGCATATATGCTAATTTATAAAGAATATATGTAGTTTATGGAACTAAAATGCACACATCTCTAAAGACTAAATATTACAATGAAATTTAATTTGATTTGTTGCATATATCCAGTGAATATTGTAGACCTCCGTATATAAAATAATTACATACTATAGAGTCGTATCAAACTCCGTTGCATTCCACTTATTGAATAATCACTGTGCATATTGTAGACACTCAAACTTATAAGGTATATCTAGCTATCTCTTCTAAGCAAAGCCTATATGTGCCCATCCTCATATCTACAAATATTTATATGGACATATGTATGTATATAACCCTCGATCCACACGAACTCTATGTCAACAAAAGACCAGATAAAAATGTTTGCCATTTTGGATAACTCGGCTGCGCTATTTAAAGCATATTATTGCCTCTACTCCCATCTTACTTCTGTTGCAGTTAACAATAATTGGGTAAAAATAACGTATAACTTTTTTTTATGATCCAAAATGTTTACTCATTTTACAGATTTATCGCACAATTTCGATTATTGAATATATATATTCGAATTTGGTCAAGAAGCTTAGATTACATATGTATATCCCCCCTTTACATTGAAATATATATATATATAAATTTATAAATTTGCTTGTTAAGCACGTAGCCCGTTATTAGCACTTTGTTTTGATTTGCATTATTATTTCTTCCCTTTGCTCAATCTTTTTACAAAGTCAGCTAGTTTGTTTATTATGGCGTATTTATTTTTTGATAGGTAGAAGAAGTGGGCTATCCGGCATTGCACGGCAATTTGTAACTGGAAGAAAGTACAATGGATGAATAGCCACATTTATAATTATAAAATATTCATTTAAATGGCATATGTATTAGTTTATTTGTTAGAATAAAATAAATAAAATTAAATAAATCGTTAGAAGTTGATATACATATATAGCAAAGGTCTTAATAATTTGTTAAATGAATTAAAAATTAATTATTATAATACAATGGAAAATATACAATATAAGAGAGAAAATGATAAATAAAAAATATCTAATCAAAAATAAATAAACATACATATATAAACCGAAGAAACAATTAATATTTTGAATTTGTATATAAAGTAATAATATATAATAATTATATAAAACAATAAAACTCCAAAAAATAAATAAATTTTTCTAAATTAATATGATACAAATTTTGGAATTATTAATTTTAAAAACAAATAGAAATTGGTTGTTAGTAAATTAATTAATTCCAAAAATTAAAAATATTTATAATAAATGCATTTATTTTCATTGATTGGGTGATAAAAATTATCATGCGTTTTCTGCATACTTATCGCACATGCCCAGTTTTTAGACACATACATATGTACGTATGTATATTAAGACATATACTACATATATAATTATTTGTAATTAAATATGTTTTGTATATGTATATATGTATGTGTAGATATCTATATTAAACTTTATGGACTTTATGTTATATCTCTAATTCACATTTGGCACGTACAAAAGTTTATAATTCTTCTTCTTTTTGGCCTGTTCTACCTCTCTCTCTGCTTGTATAGCTCGTTTTCGTAATGCTAAAGTTCAGAGTGTTTGAGTTCATTCAAATTTTTAGTCATCGTATATTGCGTAGTTTGTACATTTTCCCTTTTAGTTTTTTTTTGCTTTGATTCGTAGTGACGAGATATTTTTACGTGAATTTAGTCGGTCGGTCGGTAGGTTGGTTTTATTGTATTAGTTTTTGTTTTTCGATTTAGCATACTCGCTTTTTGGCTTTTTTTCTTTTATGATCAGAGTTTTATCAGTCTGATAGCTAGATAGGCTTTGGGCTTATTTATGTTTGCGTTCACTTATCTATCGAAGGGGACTGTGCTAAAGGACAATCGCCATTCAGTTTTCTATGTGGTACACCAACTCGATGTGGGGTTGTCTTAGATAATGGGTATATGTACGTTGTTGGTCAACAAAAATGTACAGTATTTGGATGTGTGGAAGTGTGCTGAGTGTATTACGATTAATCGATATATATATATACAAATAGATTTTTGATATTACGCCAGGGCGAATATGACGAAATGAATTTGAGATAAGAACATAAATACACATTTACGTCGATTGATATTTTTAGTGCTTCTGGTATTTATGGCTGAGATAAATTTAGATATATTCGCTAGTAGTTAAACAATTTTAATCGGCCTATATGTATATTAGAATCAAGTAATATTATACTTGTGTATACAATAATATACTTTATTAAAAAGTAATATAATTAAATAACAAAATATATAAAAAAATAATATAAATATTTTACAGTGTATTTGAGCTACGTAGTCAATCTGTTTTTTCTAACTCATTTTTTTAAAACTCATTTCAGACTTTCTTCTTCGATACGTAGTTGTATTATTTTTAGATTTTAATTGCTTTCTTCTTCTTATTTTAATTCTTTTTTGTGTTTATTCAAAAATATATGTATTTAATTTACTAATAAAAAAATTAGTTGCTGGGGGTATTCCCATTTATAAAAAGAAAAAAAACACACACACACACACCTTTAATTTTTGTCCCCATATATTTTGTAAACAAATAAAAATATATTCTGACATTTATGAATTCTATCATAATGGGGGTATTCACCTCTTAAAACAACTCGCTGAGAAACATGTGAAATCAATTATCTAAACTTTAAAACTATTAATATCTCAAAACTTTTATAACAGGAAGCTTAAGCTTTTTGTTAACTCATCTAAGAATGCGGCGATACGCATAGTGGTGCTTGGCATTTCGAGTGGTTCAATGAATACAGACAATTGTTTATGCAACTGCCTTACTCTCTTCACTTATTATGTAATCTTGTTTTGTGTACAGCAAGCAAAACAATAACAAGCAAATGTAGTTGTTGACTATTTGCTACAGTGAATCATCGGTAGAAACGACAGATCGAGTATCGGCAGCCTATTGATTAGGTAAACATTGTTCGTTATGTTCGAGCTGCATTGATATTGATATTGATATTGACGTGTATAGCTTAATCATAATTATCACAAATGCCAATATCGCCGTCAATAGTTGGATATTTATATTGATTAACAGCTTTTTCGCTTGCTCTCTTTCTCTTTGTAGTCCAATCGAATAGAAATAGAATAGTAAACTGAAAAAATTACTCAGATTTTATTTTGAGATTGGCGCCCAGGCAGGTTATGGGGCAACCTATTTATAGCACTCACAATCTATCCATTTCGATGCCTTATATTATTATTAAACAAATTGTGCTTACTCTTGTTGTAAACTATATATATTTAGCTTCTTTTTATTACAAACACATACATGCATACATACTTAGATGTTTATTTCGTTTTCATTTTAGCCAAAAACTTACATCTCCCAAATGGAATCATTTTAAAGGCGTTCGTTTGCGATGGAAGGATAAAATACGACTCAATAATGTCATCTGGCGTTGTTGGCATATGCAATGTGAGTAGAAAATATATATAAATATATTTATTCGTATATAGAAAATTAAAAAAAATAAAATAAAAAATAAAAGGAAAACAAATTATTAAATTTTATATTACATTATTATTTTTATTTTATTACATATTTAATGAGAATTTCATGAAAATAAATATTATATACTTTACCAATCAAAACAAATCTGTTAAAAATTAGTTCGTATAAAAAGCTTAAAGCTTACACGTTAATTTCCTGCCACAAATTTATACAAACATTAAAAAGTCGTCCAACAAAATTGTCAAAAATTGATTTTGATTAGGATAAGATAATAGGTTATTTGTATATTTTATATAGTTGCTAGGTTACGAAATTTCAAGACCGGAAACATCAAAATAACAAGATAAATAACTACATTCGAATATTTTGTAATTATATTATATTCACAAATAATAATGTTTGTCAGAGCTGAACAAAAATTTCAATGAAACACCTTTTCCCAACAACAGACCAATCGTAGCCAGGCGGAAAGACGGACATTACACATAACTTATATATTTTTATTTCGTGTGTATTTATTTCGTAAATTATTATACAAATGAGTATAAATATTACAAGCCATTATTGGAATGAAAAAAAAAAAAATTGTTTAATGAATATTTCCTTGAGTGCCAAACTGCCACACGTGTACGAATTACACATTATACAAAAACAAAACAAAGCACAAATGCTCAAGCCAAAAGCAATAATAGCGCCAAAAGCAAATAAAAAAAAGCTGAAAGCTAACGTATAAAAAGCTTTCCTGATTAGCAGATGAGTCGCATTTGTTGTTAGTTTCAACTGGTTTCTAATTTTCAGTTATGTGTCTAACTTTTTGACAGTCGCTGTTCTGTCTGTAGAGCAAGTTGTAGTTGTGGTTGTAGCAGACACACTTTGTACTCTACCCTTGGTTTTATGGTCAGGCGTCTGGGCAATGCGTCGCGCTTCTCTTAGGCTTTTCCTTATCAGCTTCCAGTGGCGCTTATCAGAGATGTCTGTCTGGGTTACTTTGTGAAATAGATTTTAAATAAGTACCTTCTGTGTCAACTCAAACATTTGATGTCAGCAAAAGTTCGGGAAAAAAAATCATATGAGCAAGCCATTAAAATTATCTCAGGCTATATTTGAAAATGTGGTAATGCTTCTAATTTAATTCTTTTTATTAGAGCATATACTTTATATAATTCTTTAAAACCATAGTAAATTCCAGCTAGTTAGAAAATAAATTATTATACAAATTTAATCTCGTGCAGCTAGCAAAAAAATTATAATTAATGTTAAGACAGAGACACCTGGCAATATGCAATTTAAGTTTAAGTTTTTAATAATTATAATAAATTAAGAAAAAAGCCCATCATTATAAAAAATAGATTTAATACGCTTTTTTGTATTGTATATTTACTTGTATTTAATAAAATATAAAACTTTAAATATTTTATTAAATTTTATTAATATTTAAACTAAAAATTATATATGTTATAAAATTATCGCTCATACTTAAATATTTAATAAATAAGCTTCAAATTTTAAAAATATCTGTTCACTTTCATTCCAATTCTACAAATATAAAACATATTTTCTAATTTTTTGTGACTTTCCTATAAATTTTGCATTTTATGTTTCCATTCATTACATCACGAGTGCGAGAACAGCAAGACAGTTGCCCAGATAGATAGATAGATGTGTTGTATTACAAACCCCGTCAACGTACGATTATCTCTTAAAAGTGACGACAACTGCGACAAAGGCAAATGGAAAATTTTAGGTCTATTTATAAAGTGTGCTGTACTGTGCTGTAAATACAGCTACCTACAAATGCACATCATACATACTTCATATTCTTCTTATATATTTGTAATGTTTATTCAATGGATTATATTGGTCAGATAACTTAACCAAAAATGTTTCTGTTAGAATTATGTTAATGTTTCTTAGTTACATTAAGATTAAAAAGCAGAGGTATTAGATATTTTCGATAAAGAGAATTTTTGGAACTTGGTTTAAGAAAACAGAATTTCGTATTAATATTGCTTCATTTTATATGAATTATATTCTTCAGACAATCAGAATTATTTTAAGTTTTTTAAGTAAATAAAATATTTTTAATAATATGTATTTATTTTGCTATTTTTTTGTTTTAATATTATTAAATTTATTTCAAATATGAATATTGAATAATTAATTTTAATAAAAAGTATATTGAAAATTTATTATCAAATCTTTATTATTATATATGACTATATATTAATATATAATAGAAATGCATATTTCGCAAAAGAAAAAAAAAAAAATTAAATCAAACGTAAAAATTCAAGTTCAGGCAAGGCCCTTTTAGTTGCGTAGAAACAGTATAACTATATAGTATTTCATATTATATATATATATATACGAACTACATTGTGAAATGTATATAGATTTCAATATGCCTTGCCTTTCACAATCGTATTCTAAAGTTTATATGCTAGTAAATATCGCTGTGAGTTTAGAACATAATGAATTGTCATGCAGCCGTGGTTTCTATGCGTCTGAGGCTCACTGTTATTGTTAATTTGTCAACACGTTTTTAGAATCCGCTGAAAACAGTTTTTGGCATCTCTGTGAGGCTATCTGTAGAAATAACGCTAATCTCCGGGCTAAATCTTATCTCTAAACGTTTGACGCGCTCTCTTTACCCAGTCGTTGTATTATTTTTCATATTGTTCCCCCTTTTTTTTTGCAGTTATACAAAAGCGCAGAACACCGGTGTGTCAATTCGCATCACCACTGGACGTTGACATACATAGTAATCCCCAAGTAAGTATTAGAGTAACAACTGTCACTAACTAGTTAAGAGTATAAAATGTGCGCACCGCGATAATAGTATCTATATGAACTTACTTTCCAACAGTGCGTCAAAATCGGTTAATAGTTTACAGTGATAAACAAATATAATAAAACAAGTTGTGAAATATCAAACTCAACTCAAAAGTTAGCTATATAAAAGATGAATGAGCTAGTCTACATCTATCGATCTTTAGAATTTCACAAGTCTTACAAAATAAAAAAAAAAAAGTGTTGTATAAAAAGTGAAAAATAGTGTTGTACAATTAGTGAAATAGGGAAAATATAGTGATCATTTAATTTATATTAAAATACAAATTTCACATATGTGAAATCGCAAACTCTTTAAGCAAGTATTAAAGACCAATTCTGTAAAATTTATAAATATTTCGAAGATAATCGTTAATGGGCGTTAACAAATTTAGAAATGTAAATTGTTTGCATATTTGAGCAAAGTTATTTCTAATTTGAGCACATTGAGCTAAATTTCATAATTAGGTTATATCGCTAAATATCAGGTTTCTGCGAAATGATAAATAAAATATTTTTTTTACATATTTAAAAATTTGTATCACTTTAGCATATACATAAAAGTACATAATACTTTCAATCAGATTTCTGAGCAGCTTCCATAACTGTTGGGCTAAATTCTCGTTCATTTTTTTTTCATCGGCTGTTGTAGTAGCTATTCATATCAGTGAACCAAACAGCTGACTTATTAACCTAGTCTATATTTGAACTGAATCAATGAATCGCAATGTACTCAAACAACCCCCACATGGAGCATGGAAAAAAATGATTATACTCAACGATTGACCGACCATCATTTGCAGTACGCGTGATCAAGATGTCGCGCGTCGTTAACTCATCGCCAGATAATACGAGTAGCACCCAGATATACCCACATATATGTATAATAACATGTATATGTACATAAGCAATATAGATTTCCCGTTGTTCTGCTTTCAACTTGCAGCACGTGATAAGAACGCGTGTTTCTGTTTTTGGGCATCATTCACCTATTGTCGAGTGTTATTTATTGCAAACGGGATCGAATTCGAGCGATTCGAAAGTTTGTACAGATGTGAATACTTCAGTTTGTAGAGGGCATAAATGAGGTAATTTCTGTTTTAAGTATATGGTATTATATACCATATACGCAATTTAAACTCAAGGTAGAGATTTTATTTCTTGTATTAGTATTAAAGGAATGTTATAAATGTCCATTATCTATTATACGTTGTAGGGAATTTTAGTAGATGACTACTCTTCAATATCCATTTAACATAGTTTTTTTTTTAGTATTTCGAAACAAATCATCATAATAGCTTCTATATAACTAATAAAAGTTTCAACAACTAATTTTTTATAATTTTTTAGAACACGAACTTGTTTATTAACGTAACTGTCAATATACGTAGATGAAAGATAAGATTTTATTGTTATCTCCGATAATATGTTGATGAAAATAGCTTTTTCAGTTAGATACTAGATAATAGAACATGTATAATATGCAGTAGATAATAGGTAGATATTGATAGATAATAAATAATAGATAATGGATACTAGATACTAAAATGAGCAGGAGATGAATATGTAAGGGAAATGTTTTTTAGTGTATATAGAAACTATATTCCATACTATATATTAGTATCTAGTATATATGTTGTATAGGAAAAATAGATTTTTTATATTTTTTATATATTCTATACCACATACTAATTAATGGGTTACTGTATATTCGATAGTTGATACTATATATCCGAATCTAGGTAACAGATATGATGCTAAATACTTTTGATATTCGATATTATGGCACAAATCTTATTCATAATAAAATATAAACGAAAACAAGATTGAAGAATATACTACTATCTATTCTCTAATACAAATATTGTCTAATCAAATTTTATTCATATCAAACCCTTGACAACAACTTCACTTCCTGGCTCACCCACACTTGACTTTAAAACGACTCTCTTATCGTTGATTCTTGGTAGATTAGCACATTTGCAGCTTAGTTAGGACTACATTGTACATCGCAAACTGTTTACATATTGCACAGAATATGAAAGGGGCCAACAAAAACCAGAATGATGATAGAAACTGTAAACAAGCAAACGCCCACACCTTTTACAATAACTGCTAATTAGCTTATGACAACAAATGGAGATTGCTGGAGGCAGCGCCACTCGTCTGCCACACCCATATTATAGTCGAGTGTGTATAGCACGTCAGTCAAATACTAAATCTAGATTGTATTTCGTAGTAGTATATCGTATATAGCTACATGAGCAGCCTCTTATCTTGTCTGGGTGGCAGCGGAAAGAGATTTATCTTATCGAGAGCTGCACCGACTGTGTTTTCATTTGCCAAAGCTGACTGAATCGGTTAGGGGAGCCGACTCGTATACCTAAATTTATTTAGTATATTCTAAAAAAGATTCATAAATTTTAATTATCACAACGCCTATTGACTATACTTTTGTTTGCGGGCAACTCGATTCAGTTGTCCAAAGAGCTCGACGCTAAGCAAACCATACGATTCGCTAGCGAGTCCAGAGAAAATGTGTAAAGTAAATTATTTATTTATTTAAGTAAATACAAAAAAAAAAGAGTATTTTATATTTCTTATAAGTATGCATATGTATATATTATTTGTGTGTGTGTTTTTTTTTCCACAGACCGTTGTGCTTGAGGGAAAATATTGGAAACGTCATGCAGCTGTTATCAAAGCCGAATATAGAAAATGGCGCAAAAATTATAAATCAAAAGCAACTGGCTGCTTGACTTATGATTCGGTAAGTCCCAAAAAAGTACACTTTTATTTATACACTTCACAATATAGTAAGATAAGTTAGGCAAAATGATTTCAAATTATGGTTTCTGCAAAGACTTGGTTGAGTTTTCCATTTCCTTAAACTGCACCAATATGACCATATATGTAAATATGGCTGTAAAGAGCTGTGAAATATACCAGATATATATAGTCAGATAAATTATCCGATTTTCTAGCTGTTATACCTACCTTAAAGAGTGTGCTCTTATCGAGTGCGAAAAATCCGTAGGCTGTGAGTATTGGCTGCTGGCGCAGATTTTTGAGCAAGAACTTTTCAACCTATTTACAAATGTTGTTCATTATAGTACTTTGTACGACCAAATATTTAAATACAATATATAAATTGGTATTTATACTGACCATTTTGTCCAGTCCAGAGCCAGTTCTAGGTATTTTTGCAAGTATTTTAGCTGTTTTATTGGCCTATGAGAGAGCGGAAGAGAGATAGAAAAAAAATAAAATGATAATTTCGAAAAAGCTTCACTCTACAACAACCAAGACTAAGAATATTTGATTTTTTTTTTTGCTAAATATGCGTATATAATCTATAAAAACTTTAAGTTCTATTTATAACAAGGGAACTTAATTGACGAATAAAGTAGCAAAAAGTTAATTGAAAGAAAAACTAAAATAAAGCCAGCTCTGTTATTTAATTTAACTTCAAGCATACAAATATATATGAAATTAAAAAGAAAGTACATTCTCTCTCCATTACAATTTTTGCATAAATCTTGATCAATCAGTTAGGTAAGACATTTTGATTAATCAACTCACTCACTTCAGTTGTGATCACATTCGACCGTAACATAAACGTTATCATAGCCAGCCAAGGAATATTCCATAGACAGGAGGTTATGCAATAAATGGTGAACTCGAAAGGTTTTTTTAATTTGCCCTCCATAACAGTGCTAATTAGGAAGAGTGGACCAGAGGGGGCCAGAAATAGGACGAGTGGTACAATGGGCAGTATTAGGACTCCGAAACATGCAATTAGCTCCACGGCAACAATATCCAAGAGACGGTGTCTTTTGTAGAGCAAATGCTTACAATTTGACACGGAGTTATTCTCCACTAACTGGCTGTTTAATTTCGCCAAGCCTGCTGCCACAATATGCTGCAAGCAGACAAAGAACACCAGCAACAGGCACATTGCCGAGAAGCTATACAAATACACAACAATATAGAGTAGAGTGGGAACTTTGGATAGGCCCGCCCGGGCATAGCCATTCAAATAGTTCACCAAGCAGAGCACGGCCAGAGCTACGTAGACATTGAAGTTGCGCCGAAAGTAACGCTCCAAGGCCGCATCGGGGCACAAGCGATGCAGGCGAAGTAGTTTCTGAACCAACTCGATGTGACGCTGACGTCGTATATAGAGGCATATATGGAGCAGGCAGAGACCTACACAAAAGCTCCGTATATTGAATAGTTCATAGTAGTTGCCTGTATCGTTGTAAATGCCCATGTAGAGCTCTTGAGGCCGCAGGCAGACGTAGATGAAGCCAGCGAATGCTGCGATCAGTACGATCAGCATGTGAAAAAGCGCGTAGCGCTCACTGCCGGGCGTTGACTGTAGCAAACACTCGCGATCATCGAACTGGGCACACAGCATGCCCAACCTGTACAGGACACACAAATATAAGCGCACGTTGCGACTGCCAGACATGCTGTCACAAACTAACCAGCCAGCACAGATAGCTTTTCAATTTACTAAGTGCACCAACAAAATATATTTGATTTAGAAATTAGATATTAGTTATTGATTAATCACTCAGGCGCCTAATTAGCCGAGTCAACAAGTTGGTTTACTCTAAATTGTTGGGGTAGCTAAATGAACACTGGGAATAAATTGACTCTGAGTTCGGGAACTGACCTACATGCATTCGTGTTAGATATTAGCCAATGCTGAATGATTAGGGACAAAACCGGCTAAAAAGTTGTAAACATGTCCAAGGTCTTCTAGCAACTGTTAACTGCGTATGCCTTTGTCTAGACTTCAATTGGATTTGGTTTGAATCAGTTTGGACTTTGGTATGACTCGTCTAAATTAGTTCAGAATCTCCTATCTTATAAGTCTAAAAATTGATTTGATTTATATTTAATCTGTTTAAAGATTCATTACAAACATTTCCATATCTTTTGGTTTTGTACTGATAATATTCAGACTAAGATTTGATTTTACATCAAAAAAATTTTATTCCAAAAGTCAGAAAAATGTTTTAAAATATTGATCTAACCTTAGCTGCATAACATTGAAACTGTAGAAATAAACCGGCTTGGATTAAATATGCATTTTTCCACTAACTGGTTTATTATCAATATATATACATATGTATTTAATAGATTTTTGTCTTAATCATATACAAAAATTGTAGATGCCATTTGGCTTCAGATTAATTACAAAACAATGTTGGGATTTAATTTAATTTACGAGGCTAAAGTCAGACTCAGAGATTCTGGTTTAGGTTAAATTGCCCCACGTAGCTCACATACTTCAGACCAATCCGCTTCAAGTTATTTTTAGTTCAGCATACTTTTTTAGGAATAAATACTCTTGTAGTAATATTAATGCAATATTTGTATTTTAAATTTCCTGCTTCGCTTCTCCCTCCTCTTCACACGTTTCTTACCTCCTGCCGCACGATATCTTGTCGAAAAATCAATACCAGCCCGGCGACCCAGGGTATATTCCACATCATGCATGTGTACAATGTCATGAATATGTTTATCAGGCCAATTTGTTTGATATCCATCTTAAAGACAATTGTGATCATAAAAAACGGAGCAACTGGCGCCAACATTGAACACAAAGCCGTAATTAGCGCTATAAATGGACCAAACACAGAGTTCAGCTGCTCGTGGCAAACGATGAGAATCTGATTACGTTTATATAGGCGATTGATTGTAGTAGTAGTATCTGTTGTTGTTGTTGTTGTTTTTGTTGTTACTCTTGGTGTGGTTATTGTTGTTATTGCTGTCAGCATTTCGCGATTATATAGGTGCAAAAGGGCAGCCAAGATTTGTGTAAGGCAGCCATATAGAATTATGATAAGCCCTATCAGCACAAAGCTGTAGGTATAGATGAAACTTAGCAGAATGCACGGTACGATGTGTAAGTTAGCGAATCCGAAAGCTCCTGCATAGGTAATCGCACAAGTAACCGTTAGAGCCACATACATGCAGTACAATTTAAGGAAACGTTTGGCATAGCAATTCTTGAGCTCCTTGTGATTGTGATAGAGAATGAAGGCAAAGACGGCCAATAGGCGCTGGCGTCTCTCATAGAATCCTAGATATATCAGCGATATAACTATGCAAATAACACCAAAGTTAATTACGAAATACGTATTGCCAACGGCTGTGTATTGGGGCAGCATAAAGGTTTGAGGCATTAGCAAAAGCTGAGCGAAGGCCAGCCATATGAAAAGCTGGAGAAGCGTTAAGCCGACTACTGTTAAACTCAGATCCAAATCGCTGGCGTATATGCGATACGGTTGGTTAACATCGTGCGTTATATAGAGTAAACCGATACACTTTAAGCTTATTAAATAGACGCGCAGCTCGTCACCGGAAACCATGACGGAACAGGTGCAACTGACGCAGAAGGATGTCTAACTGCCCTGTCTGGGGTGTTAGATCAATCAACTTGTTGAGGAGGAACAGCCAGGGGATAGTTTTTATATATTATATGACCACCCAATATGAGTTAACAATCAAATCAATTGATGTTTACATTTCATTAGCGCTTAGTGTTTAACCTGACTGCACCCAAGGGTCTATAGATAAACAAACATAGTCCTGGGTGACAAAAGGCAGGACATTAACTGAATTAGATTTAGAATATTCATAGCAGAAAATTCTTAAAAAATGAAGTCGTAAGCAGTACATTGATTAGATAAAGTTTAATATTGATTCTTAAATTGATTGTAAACTAAAATCGACAAAAAATTGAGTTTTTAAAAATTCAAAAATCTACCCGATATTTATTTAAAAAAAAACTTCCATTGGCTCGAATTCGATTCTTTATGAAGATAAGGCTGGATAATATACATAGATATTTCTAGAAACAGTAATTTGGAAATAAAATATATTTGAATGTACAATTGTCTCAATCCGAATGTAATTGTTGAAAGTATTCGCGATTAACTAGTTATTTTAAAGTACTAACAAATATTTTTAGTGCAAATATCTAATATAAGAATCTAGCATTTCCAATTCAAAAACAAAAAATAGTAGCTGATAGAATTTAATAAAATACATATTTAATTTACCTGCACGTGAACCGTATCGCTCATTAGGGCTGTTGCCGCGGTCATAATTGTGGGCGAGAGCCAAATAATTGACCTTAATATATTTTCGTACAGTGATTTGCCCGTGTCAGTGAGCATTGTGATATATAATGTGTTAGTGGAGTCCAATGAGGAAAAGAGCATGCAGAGCCAAATGCTGAAGCCATAGACGACACTGACCTCATCCGTGCAGAGGATGAGCAGACGGTCATGCATATCGAGGCAGGCGCGCAGACGCAGAATATCGCCGCAGTTGCGCTTGGGCTGCTGCAGCTGATGGACCAAAACGGTTAACTGCGCCTGATTGCTCTTCAGCAAATGCCGTATGACATGAATGAGAGATATGTAGGTGCCCTGAATGAAGCTGCTCGTCATGGCGCGCCAGAAAAAGCCAATTGTGCTAATTCGGAACATAATGGATATGTGGGTGAGCCAGTCGCTAATGCAGACATTCAGAAAGTTGCTAAAGTAGATGATATTGGCAAAGACCAGAGCGAGAAACAAACGCTGTGGCAGCCTCAGTCGTAGACCCGTCAAATATTTGCTCTTATATAGCTCCACTTGTCGCACAATATGAATTTGCAGCTTCTGCAGCAAGAATAGCCAAGTATTTTGCACGAATTGAATGATCATGGCCAAGAGGAGCACAAGGCGCTCATAGTGATTCCCTGTTGCGGTCATTTCGTCAGTGAAGTGAAAGGTCCAAAAGCACACCAGAATCACCATGCAGCTGATCAAATACATCTGCACTACCAGATGGATCAAATAGAAAATGATGCTGCGACGCAATCGAAATCGACCCATCTGATAATCGTACTCGATGCAAAAGATGCCCAGATATCGGCAGGTGCAATAATATGGATACAACTCCATTGGCTTATACTTTTTCATGATAATGATTGTAATTCACTCAGTACTCAACAGAAACTGATTTCAATAAAATCCCTTCGTGGAGTATTAATATCGAAAATCATTTGTTGACAAACAATTTCCTGATTGTGTTTTCATAGTGCTTTGTTTAGCTTTCATTTAGGTTTGCTTATGGTTATAGCACTTGAGTTATGTATCATAAATAGTAGGACATTAATCCAAATTTAATTAAATATTTGATATGTGCATATAAATGTGTCAACATGTTTACGAAGAAAAAGGAGTATATTGGTTTTGTACAATTTGACGAAATACTTTGAATTTGTAACTTATACTTTTTCCTATCATAGTCCTACCAAAGGTTAGCTTTCTGTCCACTACGGGCACTGAAACCGGAAAAATGTTTTATCTAGGATAAAAGATAACGCTATCATTAGTAATACTCGAGAGAAATTTATAGTTTATTCTCGTGTAAAAAACTCAATAATACTCTCCACCTTTCATTACTCTTTGTTTTCATATAAAATTTTTTTAACCACAATTTCTAAATTGTTGTTATATTTAATGAAACTTTATATTCTTTTTAAATATTAAATATTGATTAAATAAATTTTAATAATTAAATCTATATTAATTAGAAAATGTTTTTTATATATCTAAAAAAAAATTTCTTAATTCAGATTATTTCCAAGTCAAATCGTTTAATAAATTTTGTCTAGAAAATTTATTTAAGACTACAAGTTTTCCATGCTTTGACTAAATTGAGAATGATCAATTCACTAATACAACTTCAAGCCTTGCAAATTGTTATCCCTGAACTCACCTGATTGGCCACATTGTTAACGACTAAAGGCAAAGCCATGTAGAAGAATATAGGCACTAGCCAACTAAGCACTAACAGCACTTCTTTATGTGAGAAGCGATCCACGAATGTGCCTATGTAGCATACGCAGGTGGCATCCAGCACAAAGTAGAGAAATGGAAAAATCAACGCCACACCAAAGACATTCAGCATCTCTTCGTGGCAGAGCAAGAGAAGTTCATCGTGAATGCTCAAATTACTTGCAATATCGAACTAATGCCAAGCCAAAGGCCATAAAGCCAGCGAAGCGAACTGAATGCTTGAGTGTCCACCTGCAAACGAAGAGCCAAGTCCATGAGGCGATTCAGTAGATTCTGTTGCAAGTGCTGCTGGCTGTGTAGCCAAATGTGCAACAGCAACTCCGTCACCGGGGACATAAGAAGAAGAACTTGATAGACGGCACTGCCCACAGTCGACTCCATGCCCACGTAATCCACACGGTTGCCCAGCAATCCTTCTAACAATGCACAAATTATGATGCACAATACCAATAGCTGGGCAAAGCGTGAGCAGCATGTGGCATGCAGCACATAACGCTGCAAGCAGCTCGAATAATCGATATCATTGAGACCCAAAAATCGTTGATAGTGCACAAACGCGAACAACTCCTGGGATTGCATGTCTTTTGTATACTGCGCTACAAGTTGCACGATATGTACTGAATGGGGCATAAAGTTCGAACTATAAAACCAAAAGATTGATACAATATTGATATCGACAGAAACTTGATGTACGATAAAAGTCCAAATTAAAATTTATATTTTAATTATATTAATGCATTCCCCTTAAAAGAAATTCGTTGTCAATAATTCTCGATAATTTGAATTTCTGTGTAAATCGAAAAAAACTGATCCCCTTGCCATTTTGAATTATTGTGATTCTACTGTATTTGTTTATGTACATCGTTGTCGTTGCTAACTGCGCAGTCAGCAGAGCGCGTGATTATACGTGATCATACGTGTGTATGCATGTGAGCATAAAAGAGGTGCAGAATGAGTAGAATATCAACTTAGATGGTTCAGGGTATCTCCTAGTCGAGCAGTCTCGACTAGTGCTTTCTTACTTGTTTGTCAATGATTATATTTTGAATTAGATGCTTAAATAGAACTTAAAGGTTTTTTTTTATAATATGAAATCATTACTCTTAGAAAAAGTTTTCTTTTCAAATATATTTCAATGAGTAACGAAGACATTTTACTGCTATGCAAAACGGCAAACAATTGCTTCAATACTCACCTCGTAAGCCAAGTTATTGATTTTCAACGGCACGTACATATAGATAATATTAAATGTCATCCAGGATAGGATGCCAAGAACATTAAAAAAAGTGAAGCGACTCTCCAGCGTTGCTAGATAGGCCATAAATATGGAATTCTGACAGAAATATGAAGCAGACGAGCAGAGGGATACCAAAAACCTGAACGATTTCCTCGTGGCACAGCAGCAATATTTCATCGTGAGTCTGCAGATAGAATGCCAATTTATCTGGATGAACATCAGGTAATGCTCGGCTTAACTGTGCCGCTTGTGCTTGCAACAGATTTGAGACCACATTCACCAGGGATGTGTAGCAAGTTAGAATGAAATTCTTCCTTATAATATGCAGAAAAAAGCAAATGTAATAGAAAACTTGGTAGACCTGATGACAATAGTTATTATATATCACAGCAAACATCCTTAGATGCAGGATATAGAAAGTGCAGCTGACCAAGCAAAGGCGATACAGCCAACGAGGACATGACAATGACTCGGTGTTCAGAAGTAAGCGTTGGGTCAGCCGAGACATGCGCTGCAGAAGCAGTTGTTGTCGTTGCTGCCGGAAACGTAGGCACAGATTAAGCAATATTTGTATGATCGGTGGCATCAATAGATGTAGATAGTAGAATGCTTTGACAGGCTTCGAAATCATTTCCGCATTGTAAACACATTCTCCGGTCAGAATTCCATGCAGCGAGCCAAACACAATCAGCAGCACCAAGAGCTGACTCAAGCCGGAACAGCAATCGAAGTGGACTATATAGCATTGCAGTTGCTTCGAGTAGTCTATATCATTCAATCCCAAGTAACGTTGGTAATTGAGAAAACTTAACAGTTTGCGATCCCTCGGGTTTTTGAGCATTTTCAACACACTTGCGTCCTAGTAAAGACTCGGAGAATAACTGAGTTCAATGTTTATATGAAGCGAATGAAAATGATATCTGTAGTTCCATCTTTCAATTCCAATTATTGGAATTATATTTAACTTGTGACAGTATTATTGACTTCACTTTGTCTATTACAACGAACGGAAATCAAATTCGAAAGAGTCGAATAAAATATACCCTTGAGCTACAAATAATTAAGATTATCAAAAAATATCGAATATAATATACTCGGCCAAACAAAAAAATGATGCATGTATAGTAATTTCTGGCTATTTTAGCCTGTAGCTAATACCAATCTAATTAATAGAACCCAACGAAAATATACCCATTACATTATGAAATGTATAAAATTATATATATAGACTCACCTGATTGGCCACATGATTAATTGTCAACGGCAGGTATATATAGAATATATTTAGTGCCATGCAATAAATTATGACCAAAACTTCCATATATGAGAAACGACTTTCCAATGTAGCCATATAGCCGACATATACGCAATTCTGACATAGATGTAGGAGACTCAACAACATGGCAATGCCGAAGACCTCAACGAGCTCTTCGTGACATAATAACAAGAGTTCATCACGAATGCTCAAGTGGTTGGCCAGTTGCTCTGGGGATAGTTCCACAGATTTATCCCGAATCAGTTGCTCAGCATGTGCATGCAAAAGGCTACACATAACACTTGTCAAGGAGGTATAGCAAATGATAATGAAAAAAGTGCGCACGATGTCCAGCATTGAGCAGATATAATAGATTATAAGCTCTATCCGTTGACAAGTATGCCAGAAGAGCGCTGTGAAAATAGTCATGTGTATAAAATAGACAGAGCTGGTGCCAAGCCACAGGCGAAAAAGCCAACGGGAACAGGGAAATCTTTGTGTATCCAAAAGTAGGCGTTGACTCCACAAAGACATTCTCTGCAGTAGCTGCAGCTGACTTTGTTGTCGTATGCGTAGTAAAATGGAGAATAAAATTTGTAAAATAGGTGCCGTTATCATATATAGATGATAATATAATTGAACTGGACTGGAAATCATCTCATCGTTAGAAACACACACTCCGCTCAGAGTTCCATAAAGAGCGGAGCATACGATGGCCAGAATCAGAAGTAGACTTGTATAAGAGGACCAATCGGAGTTTATTGAGTAACCATGAAACTGCTTCGAATATTCTATGTCATTCAATCCCAAATAACGCTGATAGTGTATAAAGAGTAAGACTTTACGATGCTTCGGTTGTGAGAACATTTTCAAAGCACTTGCGTTTGACCAAACGTTGTGACGACTACTGAATTTACATATATCTTAGCTGGTCTTTCATTTCATTTAGTGCTTATTATTCTAATTAAAATATAAAAAAAAAAAAAAAAAAAAAACAAATTGAAGCTAATAACTTAAATGTTTAGTCAGATTACTGATAATCAGTTGCATGGCTAGGAATATTGAAATTGGTAGCAGCCAACTAAAGATAACGAATCAGGAGTACCCGAGTTTCGAGGAAGCGGAAACCTACCTGGATTGGTTTCCAGTATAAATGAATGTAGTTTCAATGACTTTTTGTCTTGTCAATTTTGGGTGGAAAAGATTATATATAAAGTAGAACTTAGAAAGTGTTGATAATATATAAAGAAAGACAATTAATATAGAATCTCCCCTTTGCTTTCCAATTAACTAAAACCCCATCCTCATTGAGCTTAAGTAGGGAATTCTACATATTAGCTTCAATCAACCCTTAGACTTTAGTAAACCAAACCAAACATTTCACGTTTTTTTTTTTTAGCTGTATGTCAGAGCTTAAGACATATCACTCACCTGTGAGGCCAGGTTGTTAAGTAACAACGGCATGGCTATGTAAATACTAAGTGGCAAAAACCAGCTTAATAAGAATAATGCTTCTTTTCCTGAGAAACGCTCATCTAATGAAGACATATAGCAAATGCAGGTGGAGTCCAGTATAAAGTATAATTCAATAAATACAAATATACCGCCAAATACTTGAACCATTTGTTCATGGCATAGCAATAGTAGCTTATCGTGAGTGGACAAATTGTTGGCCAATTGCGCCATCGATATATTAATTCCACTCTCTATAATATGCAATTGATTAGCCTGCTCCTGCAGTAGAACCAACGTGACATACAGTAATGAGGTGTACAGCGTGATGATATAGTTGGTGCGCAAAATATGGACATGGAACCCGATAGCACTGACTACATATTCGAAGCTGGTGTAGTTGGAGATTGCAGACGATATTGAATTGGCTATAAAGTATAAGCTGATGCCTATCCATAGACGGCATAGCCAGCGCGGCAGAGATAACTTCAATGTATTGACTTTTAATCTACGGGCTGTGTCATTCAGCATCTCGATTAAATAGCATTGCTCATCTTGCTGACAACGTATACAGATTTGTATGAATATCTGAATAAAATGACCAAACAGACCTATCAAATAAAAGATTTTATTCACAGCTGTCGATCGCATGTCCACGTATGCATTGCCATTATCCTCCAAAGTACAATAAATACCGAATATTAAAACAGCTAACATCAAGAACTGCATGCCGAATGAGCACAAGTTTCCATTGATCACATAGCAATTCGTAATGTTGCTGTAATCAATATCGGTTAGTCCCAGGTATCGTTGATACCGAATAAAAGTTAAAAGTTTTCTCTGCTTTGGCTTGACCAACATTCTAAAGTACACTAGTGCGTACCTAAAACTCGAATGGGTAGCTGAATGCTATGAGCTATATACTTAATTAGCAATGGCCACTGTTAATTCACTTAATTGAAATTCAGGATAAGCTTGAGATATGGCATGAGTTATTAGCGCTATTTGAAATTGCAGAGTAGGAAAGACCGACAGAACGACAGATTGAGAGATAGAGGGATATTTTTAAATATGTATAAATACATGGATTGAAAGACTATAAGAGTAATAGAGTAATAATAATAATAATAATAAAGGCATAATTATTTAGAGACATAAAAGTAAAACTCTTAATGAGGCTGATGTTTCATATTCATACATTGAACATATTTCATGTCATGCAATAAAATATGATCAAAATTTCCACTTATAATAAGCGACTCTTCAATGTAGGGGACTTTAATTTGAATTAGTTCCAATTATTATGATTAAAATTCAAAGAGAAATACAAATTAATCCTTCACATATTTGGACACTGCATTGATAGTACTATGGTTAGATATATGAATATTCGTGGCAGGAAAGTAAAGATAAGTCAGAGCTTAAAGCATATCACTCACCTCTTTGGCCAGACTGTTAATTAACAACGGCATAATTAGGTAAAAACTAAGTGGTAAACTCCAACTTAAGAGGAATACCACTTCCTCTCCTGAGAAACGCCCCTCCAACGCAGATATATAGGAAATGCAGGTAGAATCCAGTAGAAAGTACAATGCAACAAATACAAAGATACCGCCAAATACATTAACCATTTCTTCATGGCTTAGCAATAGCAGCTTATCGTGAATGCACAAATTGTCCGCCAGTTCTCTCATAGATATAATAATACCATTTTCTATAATACTTAATTGATTTGCCTGCTCCTCCAATAGGACCAATGTGACATACAATAATGAGGTGTACAACGTGATGATATAGTTGGTGCGAGTAATATGCACGTTGTACGCAATAACAGCGACTACATATCCGAAGCTGATATAAATGGATTTTGAAGAGGAAATTGTACAGCCGACATAGTAAAAGTTAATGCCAATCCAGAGGCCAAAAAGCCAACGTGGCAAGCTTAGGTCAAATGTGTTAACCTTTAATCGACTGGCTAAGTCATTGAGCATCTCCAGTAGATTGCGTAGCGCATCTTGCTGACATCGAATCCAGATTTGCATAAAGATCTGAACAATAGGAGCAGCCAGGAGCACCAAATAAAAGAATTCATTAGCAACTCGCGAACGCATGTCTAAGTATACACGGCTATCTTCTTCCAAAATACAATAAGTACCGAAGATTAGACAAGTTAAAGTCAAGAACTGCAAGCCAAAAGAGCATAAATTTCTATTGATCACATAGCAGTTGGTAATGTTAGTGTAGTCAATATCGGTTAGTCCCAAATATCGTTGGTAGCGAATAAAAGTTAAAAGCTTTCTCTGCTTTGGCTTGACAAACATTCTGAATTACACTAGCACGTGCCTAGAAGTCGAATGGATAACTGAACGAAATACCTGCTTCGTACTAATTTAGTTAATTGAAATTCAAGATAATCTGTGAGCTAATAAGTTGCTATTTGCCTAAGCGGGAAATTTCATGTAAAAGGACATGTAAAGGGCAAAGCTCAAATAATACCAAATAGAGATAGATACTCAGATACAGGTACAAAGATATACACAGATACAGATACAAATACAGATACAGATATAGATACAGATACAGATACAGATACAGATACAGATACAGATATTTATTGAGATGGATCGATCGAAAAATTAATAGATTAATAAAGAGATATAGACAAAACAGAAACATTTTTAAATTGAACGAATGATATATAGATAGATACATAGATACATAAAGATGTAGACGCTTAGAAATAATTATATAAGATTTCGACATGAACTGTTCAACGCTTCATGTTTTGCAGCTGACTTCAAATTACTCCTAGAATAGACAGAATATATAGCCTTTAAGCCCACTTACCTGTTTAGTCAGATTATTGGCTGTCAGAGGTATGATAAGAGACATAAATATCGGCACTATCCAGCAGAGCACGAACAGGACTTCTACGAATGAAAATCGTTCCTCCAATGAGGCTAAATAGCACGTACATATAGCGTCCAGTACGGTATACAGAAACAGGAATACCAAAGAGCCGCCAAAAACTTCAACAATCTGTTCATGGCAAAGGAGGAATAGTTTATCATGAAGGCGCAAATTCTGTGCTAGCCTGTCCACGGTATTCGTAGATTCCGACTGAAGCTGATTTGCCTGTTCCTCCAGCAGCACCATTACCAGATTGACCATTGCTGTGTAGCACAAAATGATGTAGTTGGTGCGAACGAGAAGCACAATGTAGCCCGACATGGCGAGGTAGTACCCGAAACTTTGATTAACATTAAAATAGAAACGTGCGAAAACAATATCGCAAGCATAGAGGATGGAAATGGTCACCCAGATGCGATAGAGCCATTTAGGGCGATTCAGTTCCAAGGTATTTACTCCCAAGTCCCTGGACCAATCAGTTAACCGGTTAATGATAATCAACTGCGACTCCTGTTTGACACGTAACCAGATATTAACTAATATCTGGGTAATCGGAGCCGTTAGTATATAAATGTGATGAAAATCATTGCCCGACTCGGAAGACAAATTCACATATCTTCCGGAAACCGCACCGTAAAAACACGCAATGAAAACAATTTGTATCCCTAGCTGTATGCTATGTGAAAACCAGTTTCCGTTGATCACATAAGACTCCAAACTACTGGAGTAATCAATATCCGTGAGTCCCATGAAACGTTGATAATGTAAAAATGGAAAAAGTCTTCCACTTTGCTTCGACTTCGACATGCTGTACCAAAAATCTACTGCGTGTCGTGCGTTAGGTTGTCCAACTAAATTCTCTTTGAGTTTTGGGAATTGTCTAAATGGAAATTGCTAAGATATCAACGTAATTGAAGTGCTTGGGGCTCTTATTTGAACATAGTTGTGTGTACCAAAAAGCGTATTTCTATAGACATTTCAATATTTTACATGCTTTTCCTTGAGCTGTCACTTTCAGCCATTTTATTTTTTCGTGACATTGCGTAAATAGTCCTATCGTAAATAGGCTTACCTCATCAGCCAAATCGTTGATTATCATCGGCATGCTAAGGAATATGCAAATTGGTATCATCCACCGAAGCAGCAGTAACATTTCTATATAGGAGAAACCATCCATGGGCAGAGCCAGATAGCAAACTTCGGTGGCATCGAGCGTCCCATATAGATAGGGCAGAATTAGAGCACCGCCAAAGACATTCACCAAGTCATCCTGGCATAGGAGCATAAGCTCATCATTCAGCTTCAAATTGTTTGCTATGTGCCGCAGGCAGATCCGATCATTGCGCAGTTGTCGTTGCAGCTGGGCTGCTTGGGCACGGAACAGATGCTTCACTAGACACACCAGTGAGCTGTAGCAGATGATGATGAAATTAGCACAGACGAGGCGTACATAGAAGCCAAGTAGAAAAATTAAATTATCTCGCTTCATGTCCATATCGAATACTACGAAAAAGACAATATCCAAGGCGTAGTACAGGCAAATTGCGAGCCAAAGATAGTAGAGCCAACGGGCGCGTATCTTCTCCAATTGAACAGCTCGCAGAGATGTGGCCACATGGCTCAATCTGTTAAGCAGCTTCAGTTGCATCTGCTGATGCAAACGCATCCAAGCATTTGAAATCAATTGGGTAAACGATGCAGCCAAGATGACCAAATGATCGAAATTGTCGCCAGTTCGAGAATCAGTTGCCTGATAATTAACCGACCACTGCATAAACGTGGCCAAAACGCAAGCAATCAAAACAGCTTGCACAAGTAAATGTAGCATGTGAGATACGCAGCTGCCTTTTAGTATATAATGTCTCGAGACTGTGGAGTAGTCCAAGTTGTTTAAGCCCAAGTAGCGCTGATAATGCAAGAACTTCAAGAGACGCATTTTGATTTTATATTTTGTTTCCAGCACACGCGTTGCTTGTCAGACTATAATTCGTTAACTGAATGGGAATTTTGAGAAATTGTTGCATAAATAAACTTTTATTTAAAATTTTTATATCAACTGAAAGGAAATTTGAATGGCAGAAGGGTTTTATCTTTTGGTTTTTAATTACAGTTTTTGAATAAATTGGACACGGTATGCTAATACCATCAGATACGCATTTCATTTAACTAAATAACATTTTAATATCCTCGTGAAATTTTACAGCAGATACCACTTTTTAATTACAATTAATTCGATTAGATTAAAAATAACAAGTAAGAAGACTCTAGTCGAGACTGCTCGACTAGGAGATACCCTGAACCCTCTAATCTGATATTCTAATCAGTCTGCACTTCTTTTCGACAAACATACATACACACACACGTATTAGAATGCGCTCTGCTAACTGCGCTTGGGCTGCGCTGCAGTGTAGGTAACATTATAAGAATTTATTTGTTGAATAATTTAATTTCTATACGTACAATCTTAATGAAAGTTTCAGGGCGTAATTATATGGTGAAAATGTATGTACATTCCAAAGCACATGTCTCTAATACTTGAAATACGCCTTTTACAAAGGTGATGGTGAGGGGGTGGATATAGGGGTGGGGGTACATTACAGCAAAAATCGAAATTATATAAAATACATAAAAGTCTACATTTAAAATTTGCAAGCTCTAGCTCTAAAGGTGTAGGAGATATAATTAAATAACTAGCTTTCGATAAGGTTTTTTATCGATAATAAAATATCGGGAGTAGTTATCGATATATAAAGAAAAACTTGATATGCGCGTGATATACACGGACCTAGGAAAAAAATTTCAAGTCTCTAGCTCTTATATCTTCTGAGATCGACGCGTTCATACATACGGACGGACGGACGGACGGACGGACGGACAGACAGACGGACAGGGCCAAATCGACTTAGCTCGTCGCCCTGATCAAGAATATATATACTTTGTGGGGTCTGCCGCGCCTCCTTCTGCCTGTTACATACTTTTAACAAAACCATTATACCCTGATTTTCCATTTTCAATGGGTTCAGGGTATAAAAATACTAAAGCGAATGATTTCACAATTAATAGAGTAAAAGAAACAAATAATATGAAATATACAAATAAAATAAAAACAAGTAAGAAGACTCTAGTCGAGACTGCTCGACTAGGAGATACCCTGAACCCTCTAATCTGATATTCTAATCAGTCTGCACTTCTTTTCGACACACATACATACACACACACGTATTAGAATGCGCTCTGCTAACTGCGCTTGGGTTGCGCTGTAGTGTAGTAACATTATAAGAATTTATTTGTTGAATAATTTAATTTCTAGATGTACAATCTTAATGAAAGTTTCAGGGCGTAATTATATGGTGAAAATGTATGTACATTCCAAAGCACATGTCTCTAGTACTTGAAATACGCCTTTTACAAAGGTGATGGTGAGGGGGTGGATATAGGGGGTGGGGGGTAAAATACAACAAAAATCGAAATTATATAAAATACATATAAGTCTACATTTAAAATTTGCAAGCTCTAGCTCTAAAGGTGTAAGAGATATAATTAAATAACTAGCTTTCGATAAGGTTTTTGATCGATAATAAAATATCGGGAGTAGTTATCGATATATAAAGAAAAACTTGATATGCGCGTGATATACACGGACCTAGGAAAAAAAATTTCAAGTCTCTAGCTCTTATATCTTCTGAAATCGACGCGTTCATACATACGGACGGACGGACGGACGGACGGACGGACGGACGGACGGACGGACAGACAGACGGACAGGGCCAAATCGACTTAGCTCGTCGCCCTGATCAAGAATATATATACTTTGTGGGGTCTGCCACGCCTCCTTCTGCCTGTTACATACTTTTAACAAAACCATTATACCCTGATTTCCCATTTTCAATGGGTTCAGGGCATAAAAAGAATCGCTTTGGAAAAATATGTATAAAATATTAAACAAATCCATAATATTTCAATAATAATAATAATATATATCATATTACTTATTATAATTATTATAATATACAAATTTAATTTTTAAATTTTTTTTATATTTATTATGATATACTTGTGTAAAATATTTTAGATACATACTCAATGAATTCATTCTCATAATTTTAAACTTTACTTTTAACAGAAAAGTGAATTGGACTTTTTGGAATGGTCTCCGCTAAACGATAGAAACTTAATGCCAGAGGACTGGACAACGGACACATTGTTCTCGGCAATAAATGGACCATTTCCATTCCCAGATTCCAGAGAGATCGGTAAGCATTGAGTGTACTCAATTTAAATATTGACATATATAATTATTTATATCAAGCCGAAGGCCTTAGTAGCCAGCGCTTTAGTTGTTAAGTTAGCTTACAATTTTAATTACAGTTAACTGTTATAAATAAAATAAATAAATAATTATTTATATATTTCATAATTTTCAGCACGCGGTGCAGGCATTGCGGATTTTATACAGCCAAGTCTGGGGCCATTGCAGCCGAATTTAGATGATATCGATCTTACCCTGTCAGGTATATAGAATTTATATAATTATTTATTAATTTAGAGAGATAATGATAATTTCTTCGCTTAGATTTGCTCACTACAACCGGCTCACGCTTGCCACCCGTGCCCGAGGAGGGCACCGATGCGGAGATGCTCAAGAACGACGACTATTGCCTGCAGGCGATCGTAGGTGCTCCGCACACGCTCTACAGCAACGACAACATGATGGAGGTGGTGGCCAGCAACAGTGGCGGCGGCAGTGCTCAAGTGGATGCCAATATGTTGGAGCTGAATACGCCCATTGGCAACATGCCTTACGGCGACATTGAGCAACAGTTTGTGTCGACGCGCCAGCAAGCTATCAGCGATACGCAGCAGCAACATTTGCTGAACGATAGTCAGCCGACACGTCTGCATGCGGGCAAACATTTTGGCGCGATCGGCGGCAGTGATAGCAGCAGTCGTTGCTCCCCCAACGACAGCTTCTCCAGCAAGAGCGTCATCAACGGGCGCATCGCCAAGAATACGCAGCGTCTCATACGACGCGAGCCGCACAACTATGATAAGGCGCAGCCGACGCTGCATCAGACGACAATTTATCAGCAGCTGCTGGCCGAGCAGCAAAAGAATCAACAGCAGCAACAACAACAACAACAGCAGCAGCATTTGAGTGGTGGTGCCGTATTGCAGCCATTTCAGACGCCCCAAGAGCAACAGCAGCAACAGCAACTGTTGCAGCAACAACAACAACAACAGCAGCAACAGCCGCGCTTGCTCTTTCCCACACAGCAACAGCAACAAAACGCTTACAATACGCAAAGTTTCTTAAGTACCTATGCAGACGGTTATCAGCAGCAACAGCAACAGCAACAGCAGCAGCAGCAACAGTTGCCCACACAACAGCAGCAGCAGCAGCTCAGCGTCAAGGTGGAACCACATCAAACAGATGTTATGTCTTTGCTGAACGACAGCTCCTACAACTCCATTAGCTACAAGCCATATCCGCAGTTTAAGAAGTCCGCATCCACGGGCACGTTTTTGAACGTGCCACGCGTCTCCCAGCAGCAGCAGCAACAGTCGCAACAACAAACCTACATGCAACAGGAACAGCAATTGCAAATGCAACAGTCGCTGCCTTTGAGCCTGGGACTAAGTCCGCAGCAAATCATGCAGCTAACACGCCAGCAACAGGCAGCCAACACACAACAACAGCAACAACAACAACAGCAGCAGCAACAACATATGCAGCTGCAACAACAAACTGTCTCCAGTCTGCTGCTGCCCCAGCAACCCGCTGTCAGCCTCTTGCCCAAGGAGATGCATCGCTCCAATAGCTTGCCGCTGAATGTGTCGCTGCCCAAGCCCCTTCATCACGAGCAGCAGCAACAGCAACAGCAGCAACAGTTCATCGTGCCCAAGTATCACGTGAAGGGCAAATCCCGTGTGCGCAGCAATTCGATGCATCAACAGCATACGGTTGTCGCTGCCGGCGGTGGCTCACCCGTCAACAATGGCCACGCCAGCAGCAGCAGCAGCAGCAACTTGCTGATTACACAGCAAATGCAACAGGCCACCAGCGATCCAATGCTCAACAGCACACTCGCCCAGCTCCTGACCTCAAGTTAGTTGACAACATACAAATTATGTACAAATTATGTATGAGACGGTTTAGATATATGCTGAACCCAGCATGTATGAACGCGTCAATCTCAGGATCTATAAGCTAAAGTATTGAAATTTTGTAGGATCCTGTAAAGCATTAATTATTCCCGATTTAATGTCATGGATTAAAAACCTTATCTAAATTCAGCTATTAAATAGTAGTATATTAAGAATAGTTCATGTATGTATATACATTTTTACATTTCCAAATTTTGGCCTGATGGTTTTGAAATTTTATCCTTTTACTATTCTATTTAAATTTTCTTCAGGCCCAGTAGTTTTAGGGTACAAATAGGTCGCATTTTTTCTCTTTATATAATATAGTATTGAAGAATATCTTTTTTCAAATTTACGGCATCGATGTCGATTCGTTAAATATTTGATTTCATTTAGTTCGATTAGGAACTATACAGATTTATTTATTTATATATTATTCTTCATTACAGACTTATATACTCTCTAAAGCTAAATTTCGAAATATCTTTTCTCTTCTCTCACCAGATACACGCTTGCAGGCAGCCGTGGCCAGTAAAACGCAACAGTCCAATTCTTCCACCAATGCCATAGTTAGCAACAGCAACAGCAGCAGTAACAACAACAACAACAACAACCAGCAGCAGCAGCAACAGCAACAGCAAACGCTATATGTGAACAATGCAGCAACATCGCCAATGTCTGTGCCGGTGCCAGCGCAACAACATTCACCAAAGAAGTCCGCCTCGTTGCCGCTGTCGATTGCTGCGCCTGCACTGCACAGTCCGCCCATGGCGAAGATGCTCAGCTTTGGTGGCCAGGGGGGCAATAGTCTGGGTAGTAATTTGAGCCTATCGCCGGACTCGCCGTTCCACGATTCGCAAGACTCGCCGCTGTCGCCGACGACCAGCCTGAAGTATCAGCCGCGAGATACGCAACGTCGCGCCGGCCACATTCATGCCGAGCAGAAGCGGCGCTATAACATCAAAAATGGCTTCGATACACTGCACGCGCTCATCCCGCAGCTGCAGCAGAACCCCAATGCCAAGCTGAGCAAGGCGGCGATGCTGCAAAAGGGCGCCGATCACATCAAACAGCTACGGCAGGAGCGCAACGTGCTCAAGGATAAAATCGAAGCGTTGCGCATGGAGCGCGATGCACTGAATAACTCCCTGATGTAGGTCGACACATTTCACTTACTTAACTTGGCTAATTGGAGTATTTTCTATTTATAGGCACCTGCACTCGGTGCTGCCGGCGAATGGAGCGCCTGTGACGCGGCAGGGCACGGAGAATGTGCGGCAGCTATATGAGTTCCATGTGCGGTACCACACGATGATCGATTGGAAGTTTTGGATTGTAAGTGGGAATGAGAGGGCGTCATGCATATAAGGAAGGATAAGGAATAGGTTTATAATAGAACAGTATATTCATTGTGCTACTCAAATTGTTTTTGTAGATTTAAGGCACTCTAAACACATTTGAGATTTTACAGCTGGTATTTTGATTTTACAATTAGTCTTGAGTGGCACTAGAAATCATAATGGAGGAGTATTAGACTACTTTTTAAACGAATATGTTTATAATTGAAAATAATAATACAAAGATATTTTGCATGTATTTTTTAAGGTACACCATTTATACTAATTTAAGCAAATTTATGAGACTGTTGAGGGTACTACTTATCTACTTGTCCTTCTGAGTCTGTTCACGTAAACCACGAGGTTTAGAGACTTGAAATTTTCAATACGTACTCGGGTTTATAAAAAAAAAAAAAAGATAATATTCTAGGCGGTTTTATCATTGCTTTGCAATCGATAAAATCTTTGTTTTCAATATCTTACACACACCTTTTATGATGTATAGGTCTGCATAACAACAAATATTTCTCAAATTGTTAAATTGATATTTAAAACACATTTTACTTTTTAGCTGGGTCTCATTCTGGAACCTTTGTTGGCCTCTTACACCTCGACCGTTTCCAGCGCCAGTTTGGATGAGCTGCGTCGCACCGCTTTCCTCTGGGTGGATCAGCACTGTTCGCTCATAGATCTGCGACCTGGTGAGTATATCTTATTACAAAAACAAGAAAGAAAGTATTTCTTAACTTCTATTTCTGACTTTCAGCTGTTACGAACAAATTAAAGTACCTATCGATGCACACAGATATTGTGTCGGATCCACCCAGTACCTTGCAGGAGGAAGTGGCGAAGGCTCTGCACAATACCAGCGGACAGCATCCCAATCTGCATGGCTCCTAACCGTTGTTGCTGCTCGTGATATGAATTTAACCCAATTGCTACAACAAGTCCAATGTCAATGCAAAATGTTCGTCCTGCTGGGGGCAGCCACGTTCCACAGTCAGCAGCTAAAAATTGTACAAAATGCCTCGTGCTGGGGCAGATTCATTGTATATGTGTGCATGAAACAGATGCACCATCAGCCACCAGCAGATGTAGATGCAGCCTTAGCTGCATCGACAGCTGGCGCTAGGCTAAGCAGCGTGTAGTGCCTAAAATTCTATGACTTAAGTGTAAAATAAACGATTTTACAATTTTTTCAAAAATATTATGAGTGCATTATTCCAAAATCCACAGGCGCGAAGCTACTTAGAGGAACCTAAGCTGAGCCTTTGGCATTTAAAGTGACTGCTTTTCTTGTATATTAGAGAGGAAGGTAATTATTGTAGCTGTATTGGTAAAATGGTATCAACATTGAAAATGGATTCGTTTCGGAATAGGACAGGATTGTAATATCTCTAAGTTAGACAATCATCAGCATCAAGTATTGCGGTACCAGTTTCAAATAAGTGTTTATATAGCTATATATTTAAATATAATATATATATAAAATATTTTCACTAATATCGGAATCGTCGATATTGTGAGTTAAAAATGTTAATTCTGATAATGATATTTAAATTGTGAAATAAGCTAAACAAATTTTATTATTTAAAGCAATCCTTTATTATTAGTTAGATTACATGAATAATACAAAAGAAATATGAAAATCGCTACGTTAGCTTAGTTATCAACATTGCAATAATATTATATTCGCTTTACTATAGCTATTCTTTTGGTCTTATCATCATTTGGGCGAAATTAAGTGAGTTGTTTGTCCAGCTAAACCAATTTACGCCCCACTGTTCGTACATGTGATGTTCTGGTCTGTAAATTCCATTCAAATTACTGAAAATAGGAGAAAGAACAAGTCATTTACTCTTGGAGATGGGTGTTTAAATTCATTTCGTTACCATTCACTGCATTTGTCGAACCACCATCCAGAATGCAACCATTCTGCGCAGTTTCAAGTTCCCCAATTATCGTGATCCGCATCGGATGTTGAGAATCGCATATTTAGATGATGGACCATTGCATCGCCTGCGTCTCCAGAATACTCTCCCAAACCCAGTTTGATAGTCCTTCATAGTTCTCTCAAACTTTTCGAAACGGTAGAAACCCGGATTTTGTGTCAGGTTGGAACATTACCTCCAAAAGCTAGACTTGTTCTGAAATTTCCGGACGGAATTTCCTTGAAAGCTGTAGAACGGTGGACAAAAATTTAGAATTGCCTTTGAACAAAAAAGCCCACAAGAAGTGCTTTATTTGTTTTCCTGTTTAACTTATTTTCATTATAAATTACATTGGATAAAATAATATTAAGAAAAATAAATAAATTAATAAATTGAAAAAAAAAAACAAATTTTTTTTTACTCTTTATCTTAATGGGGTCATCAGTCATTTACAGTCATTTCCAATCAGATTAATTAAAAAGTCATCGTTACCAGCGAAACGAAAGAGTCGGGAGGGCGACAGACGGCGCTCGGTAAATCCGATTTGGTCTCGAATCTGCCCGAAAATCGGACTGAAATACCAGGCGAACAGAAGTGAGGAGCAGCGTAAAATATGTTAAGCAAGATTGCTATGTTAACTAACAGAGTGGAACCTAAGCTTGCTGTTAATGGAGAGAGCATTTAATTTGAGTTGCTTTAAGTCGTTCGCTCAGCGGCTGTTAAATTACGTTGCTAAGCTCACATAAAGCTGCAGGTCACAGAGGAGGCATCAGACATTTTCAATTTGTATTTTGTCGGGATTCGAAGCATTATATTTACCAAGACTATAATTGCATTACACATAAATGTTAGAATCCACTTAACATTATTGATAAGCTGATAAAATAATTATACATTTTACAGACCATATAAAATTCAATTCAAATAACAACAAACAAAAATAAATAAATATATATATATATATATATATCAATATTTTTATTAATAAATAATTATATAACTTTACATCTGATCTATATTTTTACAAATTTGAAATTTCATATAATCAAAGCAAAATTAGCGAACAACTGCAATATAACATTAAATCAATCGGCGCTCAATTAACATTACTGCACCTCATTGATCCAAACGTCACCTTATTCGTCTATTTGCTCATTTGTTATTGCTCATTGTGAATCGCACAACAAACTGTGCTACATATTAGTCTATGTGCAATTATGAAGCATTGAAGAAAGCTTTCAGCAGTCATTCCATTAATGCGCTCAGCAGCACCTGCTCAATTATGAATCAAGCGACGTCTTACACCTTCTGCTCACTTACTTGTGGATTTTCTAAGTGTTCTCGCTCTCAAAATTCAAACTGCAGTCGTGTACATATGTATGTGTGTGTGCACCTTTCAAATCAGGCTTAACGGTTAGGAGAGAGCTTTAGCTCTACTTATGTATTTATTAATATGTGGGTGTTTACTGAATATTTATTAAAAATTTCCAGCAGGCATTAAAAAACACTGTTAAAGAGTTTAATTAATTTTATATTCGATTACTTAGATAAAAATCTCTATTTGTACATGTCGAACGACATATATACATTATTAACAAATATTAATACACATACATTACATTTTGTTTTTTTATTTGTATTCCTATCAGCTCCTATCAGTTCAGACAACAAACGGAACAAACCATTGTGAGAGAAACTCAGCGAACAACTAAGTTCAGGGAATTGTAGACAGCCTTTGCAAAGTCGGCATTCATTTAAATACTAATACAAATGAAATCATTTATTATAAATGCTTCTCACGCTTACACATACATACATCAACACAAATGCAAAAACAATTGGCATACATCTTTATCAGCCCTCCCGCTCTCACAAAATAGTGCTAAAAACTCAATAGCCGAGCCGAACTGTTATAAAAACATTGAGCTTGGCATCCACAACAACATTTAGCTTAACTATCAACTATGATCCACTGCGCTCTGCGTCTTTTGTGAATTTTACTGTTTTTGCACAGCCGACAAAAATGTCGTATTCAACTTACATGAAGATATTCATCGAATAAGTTATTTGCTTACGCAAAAGATTTATAAAAATGCATGTCATTCATAATTTCAGTCTCACGGCTGTCGGCTGTGCATGCGTATGTACATATGTATGTACTCAATGTAATTAGAACAGAAAAATGAGAGAGGAAGACAATGCGAAAATGGAGTGCAAAGTGAATAGGCTCTTATCTGTTAATCACTCTATCTCTCTCCCTCTATCTACATATGTATCTGTGTGTCTGCTCATCTCTCTCGCTCTCTCTCGCTCCTGCTCTCGCACTGCAGTTACATTTCAAGTGCATTTATATTGCACACAGGGCAATTTAGCTAGTTCAGTTGACTCTTGATTGTTGCGGAATGTTCATCTTAGGGCTGTTGCTACTGCTGCTGCTCGCCTGGATCTGGCAGCGCTGGCACTTCGGTTACTGGCAGCGCCTGGGCGTACCTCAAACGCCCGCCACGCCCTTTGTGGGCAATGTCTGGCGCCTGCTGCGCGGCTGCTGTTGCTTTGGCGATCAGTTTCGCGAGCTGTACGAGAGCGCCGCTGCCAAAGGTGAGGCCTATGTGGGCATCCATGTGCTGCACAACCATGCGCTGCTGCTGCGTGAGCCGGCGCTAATCAAGCGCATTCTCGTCGAGGACTTTGCGCAGTTCTCGAGTCGTTTCGAGACTACAGACGCCATCGGCGACACGATGGGCTCCCAGAATCTGTTCTTCTCCAAGTACGAAATGTGGCGCGAGACGCACAAGATATTTGCGCCCTTCTTTGCTGCGGGCAAAGTGCGAAACATGTTCGGACTGCTGCAGCAGATTGGCCAGCAGTTGGAGCAGCATATGGCCAGGCAGTTGGCAGCATCGGGCTCATTGGCGACCGCATTCGAGCTGGAAGTGAAGCAGTTGAGCGCGCTCTTCAGCACGGATATAATTGCTTCGTTGGCTTTTGGGCTGGATGCCAACTGCCTGCAGCAGCCGGACGCCGAGTTTCGCCGCATGTGCATCGAGGTGAATGAACCGCGGCCGAAGCGCCTCTTGCATCTCTTTACCATGTTCTTCTTCCCTCGCTGCTCGCGCCAACTACGCACACATCTCTATTCGGAGGAGTACGAACGCTTCATGCGCAAGTCTATGAACTGGGTGATGGAGCAGCGGGCGGCTAGTGGCGAGCAGCGTCACGATCTGATTGACATATTCCTGCAGCTGCAGCGCAACCAGCCGCCGGAGAGCGTAGTGCATCGACGTGACTTCTATGTGGCCCAGGCGGCATTCCTGCTGCTGGCCGGCTTCGACACCTCCTCCTCGACCATAACCTTCGCACTTTACGAGCTGGCCCGCCAGCCGGCCATACAGCAGCGTCTTCGGCAAGAGTTGGCAGCGGCGCTGCTGGGCTGCGTCTCTGGCCACCTAGACTATGAGACGCTCAGCGGTTTGCCCTATTTGCGGCAGGTGGTGGACGAGGTCTTGCGTTTGTATCCGCCCACAGCATTTCTGGATCGTTGCTGTAACGCCAAGGCGGGCTACGATTTGTCCGCTTGGGGTAGAGGCAAACCCCTGCGCTTGCCACCAGGCACGCCCGTCTACATCTCTGTGCTGGGACTGCATCGCGATGAGCAGGTGAGAGGGCAACAGTTGAGCTTAAGCATTATTTAAAGCGCTGGCTTTTGCAGTATTGGCCGCAACCGCTGAAATTTGATCCGGAGCGTTTTGCGCCGGAGCAGCGAGCCCAGCATCAGCCCATGACGTATTTGCCCTTTGGCGCTGGTCCGCGTGGCTGTCTGGGCACCATGCTTGGCCTGCTGGAGATCAAGGTGGGCTTAGTTCGGTTTCATTTCATATTCACATGAACTTACCTATTTTTTAAATCAACAGGTGGGTCTGTTTTACATACTGAAGAACTATCGCGTGGAGAGTTGTCCGCGGACACTGCCGGAAATGAAGTTCGATGCGAAATCCTTTGTCCTGACAGCTGCGGGCGGCACCTATTTACGCTTCATCCACGAACCGCTATGAAAAGAGGAGCTAAACAATAAATTTACTTTTTTCTATATTTTTATTTTTGAATTTTCACTTTATTAGGGTAATTGTTTTTCACATATTTTTATTTAATGTATTTTTTTTTTTAATTTTTCTTGTTTGTTTTTAGCCTAAGATCAGCTCAAAAATGTTCACAAAATTTGTCAGTTGGGCTAACCAAATATTGTTGGCCATAATAAATATGGCTAATCTACCATTTAGACTATAGACTGCATTTATTGGCGGGCTTATCAGTATATGTAATTGAAGTCTTAAATGAAGTGCATTGATAAGAAAATGAAATTGAACTAAGGCAAAGAAATTGAATTTTTCAGTTTGGGTAAAGAAACACAGTTTTATGACTGCGACTTTTAGCCATATATTAAATGTTACCGACAATATTTGGATAGCTTGACAATCAACCATAAATATGTTGTGTCTATTTGTTTTTCTTGTTTTCCTTCTTTTATTTATATTTATTTATCATATACAATTTAAAAAACTAGCTCTCGAGCTACCTGGCTTATATATTTTCACTTTTTACAAATTATCAAAAACATAACTAAAGCAATTTTACACACTCATTATGAATGAACTAAGAGCTAAGCTAACAACTAATTGCATTTTGTTTTTTCTCATTTGAATTATACATAAATATAATATATTAACACAAAATTGTATTTGTATTTGTATTTTATTTTTATACATAAACGTTTTCACTTTTCTTTTGTTGCGGAGAATCGAAATTGAATAAAAATTGTTGATTTTTCAATTCAATAAAAATTTTTGTTTCAAAAGCAAGACGCAAAATGCAAAGTTTACTGTTGCGTTGAAATTGTAAAAAAAAAGTATGCATTAATATACTTTGTGAATTTTCAACTGCTACGCAAACAAATTTTGTGATTTAAATTCATCAGAATTATGTTTACTATTTTTGTATATATTTTTATTTTATTTTTTTTTTCAATATATTTTAGCAGTTTTCAAAAGGAAGCAGCATTTATTATGGCATATGTATGTATATATAGCGGAAGGTTGTATTTTCGGTTTTTTAATTTCAACTCCTTATCATTTGTATATATGTATAATTATATATATGTATGTGTGTGTGGCAAGCAAATTTGCATTTTGTTTTGTTGCAATGACAGCTTTTGATTTTCTGTATTTGAGTTGTTTTTTTTTTTTTTTTTTATTGGAAGCAATAAATTAAATATTGTTTTTGTATTTTGTTGAAATTTCGAATTTTTTCTAACAATATTTTAAATTTCTATTAACATTCAAAGTGCAAGCATTTAAGTGGTTAATTTGAAAGTTTGAAAATTTCTTTTATATTTGGTTTTTCTCTTCTTCACACAATATACAATAAAATTTTTGTTAATTTTTTTTTTTTGCTTAGTTGCTTTACTTTGACTTTGGAAGTGTGTTGGAGGCTCGTAATTAAGAGAGTTAAGCAAGGCAATAAAAATAAATAAAATGTGCAAATACAAAATTATTGTAAAATTTATGTATGCCAAATGTTTGTATTTCTTAAAAAGGTCCAAAACACTTCCAGAAGCGCTAACAGCGACAAAATGTTAATTAACATAAGTGAGAGCGCTGCTAATTAACATGATGCTTAGGCTGTTGCTTTTATTTTGTATTTGTTTACATTAGTTTTGTGTAACTAACGCTTAATACACACATTCATTATTACACATAACGGTATATACGCATACATATATATGTATATATAGCTAGTTACATTTAGTAGTAGTGTACTTTTGACATGACATACATTTAAATATATTGTTTATATATATATGTAGTGTATATATACTCTCACTTTTAGCTTGCTAGTAAATATCATGTAAAAATTAAATCATTACATTAACTCTTTTGTTTGTTTCTTTTTTTTTCTCACTATACTTGTATTTAAATCTGTTGTTGTTGTTGTGGGTTTTTTTTGTTTTGTTTTAGTCTTCTTAATACATTTTACGAAACACACACATTAGAATCGTGGAACTGCTACTATCTTCGATCCTGCATGACCACCTGCTTAAAGGCACCCGCCCTCACATTTGACTTGACTTCATGCCCTCCAAGCGAGGCGGTGCCATCGCGTGCTATATAGAGCTGTAATCCAGATGCTAAAACAGAGAGAGAGTGTGTCATTAATTTAGATACTAATCGGATATTAAATTCTACTCACTCTCGGCGGATTCGCCTAGCTGATCTAGTTTGGTATCCTTTAAAATCTCATCTATTAACGAATTGGGGTTGACGCGTGTCTCTTCGACACGATCCGAAACGCGTGGCCCATCATCGAGGGCGCCCTTTTTGCGTTTCTCACCGCTGGTTTTCGTGCGATCTAGAGATCCTGTTTCACTTATAACTAACGAGCCGGAACTGGGATTCCTGTGAAGCCAAAAAGGACAATACAATTAAATACATATATAGAGTAGAATATACATAGATAGTAATATAAGCTAAATAATAAATTATATATATAAACGCGGTGCGCCCTGTTTAGTTTCAAAATTGTGAATAAGCAGCGAGTTACAATATTGGGACTTAGGCAAGACAACGGACCAGTACAATTGAATGGGGCTATCAAATCTGGCCATGCCATGCAAAAAACATATGAATGTGTGTCTGTGTGTGTGTGCTTATATATACTTGGCTTAAAAGTATTTGAATACAATATTCTTTAAAAATCTGGTGCAATATGAAAACAAGCAAGCGCTGATAATTAAAAACTCGAAGCTGCACAGTAAAAATAAAACTTAGCAATAAATATATAAATATTACATGTTTCACATAATATGAAATAAAATAAAAAATATGTTTACAAACAATTTTTTGTCATTGTAAGACTCATAATTTTACACACAAGTATTTGGATTAACAAATTATTATGTTGTTTACAAATAGGACATTTATATAAGAACTGGATTAAATAATAATAATAATAATAATAATCTAGAATACTTTAATACAAAACATGCTGATAGTTGTTGTATTATATATATTTCGATTCATATTTATTATTTACCAGACTTTGGAGTGGACTAAACTTTTATTTATTTTATATTAATTTGTTTGCTAAAAACTAACGTCTGTTCCAATTTTCTTCCTTCTTTTGTACATTTCATGTATGTATAAACAAAACATGAAACCAAGTTATAAAAATATATATAAAATTTGATTAATCATATTAAAAAAAAAAAAAAAATACATATTAAAAAAAATATTTTTTTTTTTAAGAGAACGGTAAGCAATAATATATAAAGTAACTTAATATGTATATTGATATTTTGAAATATGAAAAATTATTCCTTTTGAATTTTTAATTAAATTTATATAAACAACATTAAAATAGGTATGAAAATAAAAAATATTTCCAAATTTATAACTAGAATTAGGATAATAAATAATCATAATTTGAGTGGAAAAATAGAATTATTTTCCCCACATGGTTAAAAAATGAAGATATTTTTCTATCCTTTTAGTGTTACACATACAATAATTAAAAAATAAACTTATTTGTTGAAAAAGACAAACTCTAATATCTCCCCATGAACCAAATATCAGGAAAATAAATACATATCTCTAATTCTTTCGCTCAGCAATTGTTGACTAACACATTTTTACACATTTTTATTATTAATCTTAAACCACTCTTAGCTCAATGCAGCTCTTACAACTCTCAAATAGCTAGAAACATTTATGTTTCTGCAACGGACAGACAAAATCTGCTGCCTATATATAAAAAATCGCTGCTAATAATTTCCCAGCTCTAAAAAGTGTATATAATTTATAGTTTATAGACAAAATTACATGACAACGAGTTACGAGCACAACAACAAGGTAGCATAACTTAAGGATCTAACAAATTGATACAAAGAAACAAAGAGAGGCAGGCAACTAAGTATTAAAGTTCGCTGTGCGGATAAATTGAGAACCCACATCATTGTGATGCTGGGCCGACGGATGATCTGTGTGGTGGCCAGCGGAGAGAGCGTTGCGCCCGAGACAGACATCGTGGTCGCCGAGGCTAGAGCCGATGCCTCCGCTGCCGCAGCCGATGTGGAGAGCAGCAGCGATGCAGCCGATGGATTGGAACGTATGCTGCACGCATCTGTGGGACTGGCTGCCAGCGAGCTGAGCGCATCTCCCGACATGACATTGCCAATCCTTGGACTATTGGCATGCCCATTCGGTGAGCCAATCAGCGTCTGCTGTGACGGTCCATCCACAGTATCCGGATTGCACTGAAAGGTGATGAGGGCACCGCTGCTGCTGCTGTTGCTGCCGTTCGACGAGGAGGCCGAGTGATTTGAATGGATGCTGGCTAAAGTGCCGCACGGCGAGCAGCTGCTGCCCAGTGCATAGCCATAGGATCCTCCCGATGCTCCGCCTCCAGCTCCAGCTGCAGCAGCTGCTGCTGCTGCTGCCGCCGCCGACACCGCTGTGGGCTGTCGATTGCCGCCGCTGCTGTTGTTGGCGCTGCTGTTGCAATTGTTGTTGCCGCCGCTGTCAAAGAGGCGACGTGGCACACCGCTGAAGCTTCTGCATGTTGCGCGTTGTTTTTTGTTGTTGTTTTGTTTGATTAATTCATAGACACAGTTACAGATCAAAGCGTTATGTTTTCATATATATAGATATATAAATTTATATATGGGAGAAGACAAAGGAAAAAAAAAAAACATTTGCAAAATATGCACAATAAAATGGATGAGTAATAGTAGAAAATACTTAAAGTACATCATATATTCATAAATATATTTAAATATCTGATATTAGTATATTTATATAGTATATATTCAGCAAACACGTCTAGCTTAACTCAAGAAGCATTTGAATTTTGGATTTATGTTAAGTTATTAACTCATTTAAGAGAATTTATTATATCAATGTTAGATAAGCTTTTGATTATCTGTGTAACTTTAGTGTGTGTAGCAGTGTGTGGGTGTTTCCGTGTTTCAAATAATATTTAAATTAAATATACATAATAAGATGAACATTTAAAAAAATGAAAAGAAACACAAATTGGTA